GCCTCTCTATAGAGTTTGTTGGTTCTTGGTGCTCCCGTGTTGATCTCTGCCTTTGTTCGTGTAAGATCTGGTGCATTATTCGATTTTGATTGAGTTGTTGAGTTATGTTTTGATGTTGTTCTTCAGGATTTCATTGGCGGTGCGTGTTAGGGCCCGACTGCTCCAACTAGATCAATGGTCCTCGGTTTTGCCTAAGATATGTTTTCCACATGGTCGAATATGTGCTTTGTCCCTGTGATTTGTGCTTGTTTCCCATTTGATTTGGAGACGTTGGTTACTCGAGGATTAGGTCTATGTTAGCCCTAATTCTAGGTTTTTAGGTGTGTGTAGTTTCTTTTCTGGTCGATTTGTTGCCGGGATAGTCGGTTTTTAGGTCTTAGGGGCACGTGCATGAAGACTTCTTGGTTGCCATTGACAAGGTCAGCCCGGCTTCGGTATGAGAGCGACAACAACGGGGTGTCAGCGATTCGTTATGGCGGTAGCAATGGTCATTCGATGGTATGAGGGCCTCAATGTGTTTTTTATTTTTTTTGCTGGGGTGTTTGTAGTTCTAATGAACATTTATGATAATATTTGAATTGTTTTCGCAAAGAAGAAAAAAATGCGTGAAGAAGAAAAAAACTACGGTTCATGCGAAGAACTGCGATGCCTACCAGGACACTGACTACAAACGAACTGTGATGGCGGCACTTTGTTTTACTTGGTTTGGGACTTCGATCAATCACGTCGATTACCCTGGAGTCCCTGTCATTTTTTCATCCGTGATGAAAATGGAGAACCTTGCAAAAACACTCCATCGGAGGCGCCACTCGCCGTCACACACATTGAATCATTTCTCCTGGCTTGATGAAACCCACATGTCGAAGATTTCTTAATTTCCACTAGGCCGATGGATATGTTTAAATGTGGTTAAATCGGTTGTGTGCTAGTGTCTACCTACCTTCTACTTCGGTTGCTTGAGCTCCATGTGACATTTCTCAATCAGTTGGACAGTGACACGCACCCACGCGCACAACAATGCATTGCCTTTGAAAAGGGATTAAGTGGGCAAAATGATATACTTAAAAACATGCAAGTCAAAGGTCCGAGAAGAGCTGAGGATGCTCGGTCATGGGTGCAGATTGATGCTCCGCCCTGCCGCTCGGCTGCACCCACTGTGCACAAGTTAATAATATGCGTCCTTGTCTCGGAAAAAAAAAGGTTAACATGATGCGTCCATGCAACCATTTTCACGTCATCCATGGGTGCAAATCGGAGCTCAACCATTGGCGTACAGCATATATCCCCTTAAAAAGAACACATATATTCCGTTTCACCTAGCCACGGTGAGACGCACACACCCTTTGCACCCGTGGTCAGCGAGTGAAGTTTGTTTAAAACCTTGAAGTTGTATGGATAGTCGAAATTAAACCCTGAATTTTAAATCCCTGAAATCGGCACCCCGTATTTAGTAATCCCGGTCAATTTCAACATTATATCTGTTTGCTGCACTAGGAAAAACAAAATCCTGGCCGGGATCCCTCACTTCTCTCACTTGCTGTGTGGGCCTACATGTCATCTTCGTCCTCTTCCCTGCTTTATGCAAATCCATCAAATAAGAAATCCCAAACTGAATCAGACTAAAAAAACACTATGAAGTAGGAACAAATAATACTATATGCATGGATCACCGACGAACTGACTAATACTAGCTTGCTTAGCACTCACGCCACGACAAATACTACACGAAACCGAGCAGCACATTAGCCGCCGCAGCGCACGGTTGCCGCTGTCTTGCCCTCAGCCGTCTCTGGGAGTTCCTCACGCTTGGCCGACGCGCCGCGCGAGCGGCCGGAAATGCCAGACGTCCTGCCATTGTTGTTCGACATTGTCGCATGCTCCCGGGAGGCCGGGACTGGACAACGCGCCCCCGATGCCACACAGCTACCAGGACACCTTACTCGTCAAAAGGACCTCCCGTAGCACCACCATTCCGTCAAACACTTCGTGTGCGTGCAGCCGTGCATTCCCTTACAGGTCACCTTGCCTCCAAGCTCGCTCCGACCACCCCTGTAGCTCCGCGCGACTCGCCTGTCCACGTTCCTGAGCTACATTCACCCTATCTCCATCGATTTCTTCCTCTACCGCTCATGCTAGGTGGCTGCTCTGCCGTGAGAGCACACCACATGCAGCGTGGATGACGTGCACGGCGACCAGACCGGTGGTCATGCCTCTCGCTCTTCTTTCCCATGCGCTACCCCTGGACTTTCCCGCTGCCCTGCCCATTTTCCGGCGTCCCGGCACAAGGTACACCAGCTGCCGAGCCTGCCGAACGTCATGCCGCAGTTTTTGGGAGTGACACAGAGAGATTGTAGGAGAGAAGGTAAATATGACATGTGGGCCCATATAGTCAGTGAGAGTGGATTAGGATCCCGGCCGGGATTGTTACTTTCCTGCCGTGCCAAACCGGTCTATACAGATCCAAGGTGGAGATTGGCCGGGATCAATGAGTACAGGGTACCGATTTCAAGGATTCAAAGTTCAGGATTCAATTCTGACTAGCTGTATGAATTTAAGGTTTAAAATAGACTTTGGGCGGCTGCATGCGGCGGGGGGGCCTGAAGGCCTGAACCGAACCAACCAACCAACGACGAGCGCGCATCGGACGAGGGAGGGCCCCGGCCGGAAGGAAAAGGCAACGGTTTACCCGCGCGTGACCATCGGTCGACACGGCAGAGCCCAAAAGCTCCGGGATGGATGCAGACGAGACAAACAGAGCCCACGCCGAGCAGACGCGGTCGCGCCATCGCCACGGTGCCCTCCACTCTCCTCTCCTGGAGATGGGTGGAATGGATGGATGGTCCTACGGGTATCTATCCTGGGCGCGCTCCGGCTCCCAATCCCAAGGCTCGGCCGACTAGGTCGGGACCGGCGGCACCACGGCAGGCCCGGATTCCTTCCTGCCGCGACGGAGACGCGGGCGGGAACGGACACGGGCCGACGGCACGCACGGACGGATAGGCGGGGGACCTATCCG